ACCTCCTGAGATTTGCTTAAATTATAAATTGCCTCCTGTGATTTGAAAAATTACAAATACCCCCTTGTTAGAATTTTTTATTTAACAGAATTAACTAAAAAAATTATCTAATTGATCCACTATACATGAATAAAATTATCCAAATTATTAATTGAAACATATTTTTAACATCATTAAAAACTGTTAATTGACTTTATGATTTATTAACAAAATAAGCGATTTGTTATGAAATTAGAAATCTCAGAGGTGAAATGTAATTTCCAAAACCATAGAAGACAATTTATATTTTAATCAAATCTCAGGATATATTTATAATTTACCCTTTCTTTTAACTTATTTGAAATTAATGGTATATGTATGGAGAAAAAAAGTCTCATCTTTTTTTTCTCAATAAACTATGTGATAATTTATTTAATCAAACGTATTCAACTTTTTTTTCCTTATAGATAATCAAAAATTACACTAAATACATTTATAAATTACTATAATTATTTTAAATTAATAATCTAAAATAATAATAAATTCTAACTTATAAAGCATAAAGTTGGTATTTATGTAAGTGAATTCTTAAGTAGAATGTCACCATGATACGCTGTAGCATCATTTAAATCTAATAATGAAACATTATAGGGGCATGGTGAGACAAATATTATATTTATGCTGAATTTACATTTACATATATATTACATTATATTTTATTAATTATGTGACATTATTTACAGTGACCAATCTACTTATGACACGTTACCAATTTGCTACGATAGTGATTAAGAAGGAAAAATAAACGCTCAAAAAAATTTAAAAATTAAAAACACTTGAAAAATTTGAAGAGTTAATATTCAGTAATGATAACAGTGTATATCCGCGCTGGGAAAAAAAAAATTAACATATTCAGTAAATCCCACGTGATTGTCAACAGATCGATCCATGGTTGTTTAAAATAAATAAAAAAAATAACATATGATGACATTATTTTTGAAGTGATTCATATTATACTAATTTTAAATTTACACTACATACGTCACTTTTCAACTAATTTTCATGTTAGAAAATGATATGTAAGCATTTTCCAAAATTTTGGATGTTAGAACTGCATGCTCATTGGAGTATTTTTCTATTATATAATGCAAATGGCTGGATTGGTGTTGCCTACCTTACTCACAATTTTTACTTTTCTAAAACTATCGATTCAATCTGCAACTATCAATTTCAAACCATATGAAGCATCCTATGTGGGTGTGCACAACATCTAATTATAAATATATATGTATAAGAAAATATTTTACTAACATTTTTACCAAATGTCTCACATAAGTGTGTAACTCATATGAGACTTACATGGTATGAGTCTTACATCCATGCGAGACATTTAATAGAAATATTGATAAAATAATTAGAATACGTAACATATGTATATATGTATATATACTATTAAATTGTTAATTATCAATTTATCTAAAAATTAAGTTGCCAGAGATAAACATAACATTATCAGTCCCGATTTAGAGCACTAAATTGGAAACTCTAAAATGACCACTAATGAGGTGGCAGTGTAAAGAAAAAAAAAATCAAAAAAAATAAAGGCCAAACTATCACATCAGTGGTGGGGTCCAATGATGCCACATCATTAGTGGTGCATTAGTGGTGCTAAATTAGTGGTATGAAGCATTTTTTTTTTTTTTAATTTATTTATTTATTTTTTTTTTTAGAGAGGATAAGCAATTACACAGAGGAAGACGCCTCAGACGTCACCAACGCCATTAAAGAAGGAGGAACCTCCTCCATCCAAATACGTGGCGACTCAAAATCAAAGGCTAACCTACTTAAACAATGAGCCACCGAATTGCCATCTCGACAAACATGCGAAACCGATGAAGAAGGAAACCGCAAAAGGAGCGCTTGAGCCACCCCCACAAAATGACCATAGCAAGAGAAGTTATCCGCCTTACCTTGAATTGCAGCCACCACATTTTGAGAATCACCTTCCAGATGAATATGGCCCAATCCCAAATCACAAGCCAATTGAAGAGCTTTTATCGCTCCCATTGCTTCCACACAATCAACATCCTCCATATACTGTAACCGCTCAACCATAGACGCAATGACTTCCCTATGACAGTCCCGAATAATAATGCCGACCCCAGCACTGGCCTGGGCCTTCCTAACAGAGCCAACAAAATTCAATTTGAAGACACCCTCGCGTGGCGCAACCCACCGTCGCATCCGAACCTGGGCCGGAGGAAGATGGCCACGGTCTTGAGCTTGAGCATATTCGGAAACATAATTTACCGCGAAAGAAACAACTTCCTCCACCGTCCTTGATTTATTGCCAAACACAATGGAGTTTCTATTATTCCAAAGGCTCCAACAAATAGCCACAAATAATTGCATGGATTCTGGACCAATTGTGGCCATGAGTTCATATACCCACTCAAAACAATTATGAACAGGATTGGATTTAATAAGCAAAGTTAGAGAGCTCAATCGCCACACTTGCATGGCAAAGCCACAATTGTGAAAACAATGGCCTACCGATTCAATCTCCTCTCCACACCTAGGACATAAGTCCATATTGACGATATGACGTTGCCGCAAATTGGCCCTTACCGCTAACAACCCAAGGCACATTTTCCATCCAAAAATCTTAAGTTTGGTCGGTAAATTAAGTCGCCAAAAACCTTGCCAGAACTGCTTATGCGACTGCCCATTAGTGGAGGTATCACCGTGGCCATCCACAGAGGCCATATCCATACACAAATGGTATGCCGATCGTACTGAAAATTCACCATTTCGGGAAAAATGCCAGACCAATTTATCCGAGGGTAACGTGGGACAAAGAGGAATGCATCGGATAGCCTCCACATCCATGCTCAAAAAATTTTGCGTAATCATCTCATCATACCATGCTCCCTTCTCAGGATCAATTAAATCACTAACCCGCGCATCATCCGGAAGATTCGAAGGTGGCATAATTATTTTAAAAGAGTGAGGCCTTGGAACCCATTTATCGTATCTAACCGAGATGCTTTCACCATTTCCAACTCGCCATCGAAGCCCAGCATTTAATAATGTTCGAGATCCGACTATACTCCTCCAGGTGAATGATGGATTGCTCCCGACCAAAGCATCAAGAAATGAAGTTTATGGAAAGTACCTAGCCTTAAAGACCCGCGCAACCAAAGATTGAGGCCGTTGCAGTAGTCGCCAACCCTGTTTGGCCAGCAAAGCTGAATTGAAATGTTGAAGGCACCGGAATCCCATACCACCTCGTAATTTAGATTTACACAATTGTTTCCAGCTAGTCCAATGAATTTTACGGGTTTCCTCTCTTTGTCCCCACCAAAAATTGCACACCATAGACTCAATTTCGTGGCACACTCCATCTGGGATGCGAAAGCAGGACATAATATAAGTGGGTATGGCTTGAGCAACAGACTTAATGAGGACCTCTCTACCCGCCACTGATAACGATTTTTCCTTCCAACCATTTAAACGAGACCATACGCGCTCCTTGACAAACCCCAATATGGCACGCTTAGAATGCCCCACACAATATGGTAATCCCAAATACTTCCCATACGGCTCCAATGACCCCACCCCTAGAATAGATGTCACTACTCGCTGAGTAACCAAGTCCGTATTTTTACTAAAGCAAACAGCCGATTTTTGAAAATTAATTTTTTGCCCCGATGCTTGTTCATACTTTTGGAGAATATCTCTCAAGACACCCGCCTCACCTTCCTTAGCAACCGTAAATAGAAGACTATCATCGGCAAAAAATAAATGTGACAAGCGCGGACTACCTCGGCAAATTGAAATTCCGGACAACCGGTTAGCTGCCATAGCTTGGCCGAGAAGTGCCGACATTCCTTCCGCACAAATAGTAAACAAATAAGGTGAAAGCGGATCCCCTTGGCGGAGCCCCCTTGTTGGGTAAAACATGCTAGAAGGCTTTCCATTAACAAGCACTGAAAAAGAAACAGTCGACACACAATTCATAATAAGTTGCACAAACCTTTGCGGAAAGCCTAAGAGGATCATCATCTGATTAATAAATGGCCATTCCACTCGGTCCTTTACTCATGTCAAGTTTCAACGCAAGACATCCATCTTTTCCCGCCCTCTTGTTCTTAAGAAAATGGAACACTTCAAAAGCCACCAGTGCATTATCTGTAATCAAATGGTCTGGTATAAAAGCACTTTGAGTGTCTGAAATAACAGATGGCAACACATCTTTAAGACGATTGGCCAACACTTTTGCAATTATCTTATAGACAACATTACACAAACTAATTGGTTGAAATTCTGACATTAGCTTGGGATTCTTAATTTTAGGAATCAACACAATGAAAGTATGATTAATATGTGAAATCTCATCAACCCCATTCAACACCCCAAGCACCGCAGAAGTCACACTAGGACCCACCACAGGCCAAAATTTTTGAAAAAATAAAGCAGGCTTACCATCGGGCCCGGGAGCCTTTGTTGGATGCATTTGGAACAGCGCATGGTGGAGCTCAACTTTAGAAAATGGTCTACTCAAATGAGATGCACTATGAGCGGGAACTCTAGCCTGAATCAACTGCAACACTGGCCCCATGTTCAGTCCCTCACCCGCCGAGAATAATTCCTGAAAATATTTCACAAAATTTTCCTCCACCACTCGTTGATCCTCCTGCCAAATGCCATTATGATCCATAATGCCAGCAATTTTCTTCTTCTTATGACGTTGGGTGGCCTTGGAATGAAAAAACGAAGTATTACGGTCCCCATCCTTAAGCCAATTAGCTCGAGCACGTTGACCCCAAAAAATAGATTCCCGATCCAAAATCTCATCAATATCACAACGTAGCCTACCCATTTCTGCAACGTCGTTCGGAGAAATGAATCGTTGCGTAAGTAACCGCTGTAATTGATCGGTTTTCTCCTTTAACTGTCGCTTTACACATCCAAAAACATTACGATCCCACAGTCGCAGCGAAGAACTTACACTTGTAATATTAGAGACCAAATGTCGAACATCTAGAAGAATTCAGCCAATTATCAGCAACTATTTGCTCACAACTTGCATGCCGTAACCACATAGCTTCAAACCGATACATGCGATAGCCACTAGCAGGAGATTGACGTTGATCTTTAGCCCCACAAATGTCAACACAAATCGGTAGGTGATCCGAGGATGTGCACGCAATAGGATAAACCTTTGCATGTGGAAACAAGAGTTGCCAAGCATCATTAGCAAATCCACAGTCCAATCGCTCCCGAACCAACGCGTGGCCACCGCGGTTATTGGACCAAGTGAAAATTGGCCCAACAAAGCCCAGATCCGCCAAGTGTGCATCTGCGATCACATTCCGAAAATGTTCCATTTTGGATGGACTACGCCCCATGACACCACACTTCTCCCGGCTAAACAGAATTTCATTGAAATCCCCCGCACAAAGCCAAGGCATTTGGAAACATGTTGATAGTTTACGCAATAATTCCCAAGATGTTTTCCGTTGTGCCATTTCCGGGTGTCCATAAAATCCTGTAAATCGCCAAGATTGTTCCCCCAAACCAGCGTCTACAAAAACATCAATATGGCCAACCGAATAACTCTTCACACTAACTTGGATTCCTTCTGTCCAAAGCAAAGCAAGTCCGCCTGCAAGTCCAACTCGGTTAACATAAAAACCACCACAAAAACCCAGTTTTTGCCGAATCCCCTCCATGTGCTTCGAATCGAGCTTGGTTTCCATGAGAAAAACCAGCCCAGGAACTTCCCTCTTCAGTAGAAACTGAAGAGATCGAACTGACCGTGGGTTCCCAAGCCCGCGGCAGTTCCAACATACCACATTCATTGCGATCGGCGGGGCTGAAATTCAGCCTCCACCGTTGGAATATTGTTATGTGGGTTGCTGGCATCATCCCCGTGCACACACAAACGTTTCCCATTCATCACATCCACGGTTTCATCATTCAAATTCCCAACCTGAACTCCTACCTCCTCAATCACTCTCTTTGACCCCGTAACAGGAGAGTGAGCCTTAATGGAATCCATATGCTGACGTGCCACTCTCTTCCATTTCTTTTTGGCCAACACCGAATCAGTCAGTGAGCTATCTCCCACCTCCATCTGGAGCTGGGCCACCAAACCGGACACAATAACCGGGGGTTTGGCCCCATCTAAGCCCAATCTGGAATTCTGAGATTGATGCCCCAGCCCTTCGTTTGCATTAACTTCCCGCCCATGCGAATATTCAAAATTATTAGACGTGGGTGGAGATATGTTACTTCCCGAGATTGTAGCCTCATATACCGCGGTTCCGTGACCAACGCCCTCAATCACGTGGGTCAGAGTTTCTCCACTGGTTTCTTTCCTATCCCGACGCCAGTCGGCTTCCACCGGAGCACGGGTTGGCGAAGCACTCGGAGGTGCCCCCTCCTCCTGATTCACCTGTGCAGAATTCGTCCGCAGCGGTGTCCACTGCCCACCAGGATGCGTCCCCCCTACTCCTTTGTCAATCGAACCAGCGCGACGAGGCCCCTTACTTTTGATATTATCCATCCTCAACCATGCCCCATATTGCAAACTATCAACCCGAGTGCCATCGGCAGAGGAGAGTTTGGCATCACACTCCCGGTCGCTGTGGCCGAGCCTTCCGCAAAAATAGCAATAGATCGGGAGGCGCTCATATTTGAAGTCCACCCAGATTGGTTCGGCAGAGGACAAAGCCAATTTCATCCCCCGTCGTAGGGGCTTTCGAACATCAAGGGCTACCCGAATGCGCATTGTTCGGCCCCATGCAATGCCACCATCTTCATAATCCATATCAATAAATTGGCCAACATCTAATTTTTTCTTTTTGTATTTTTTTTGTATTTTTTTTTAATACAGAATACTGCTGTGTTTCCAAGTTTTTAGGAGCTCTAAAACTTGAACGTTGGGATCCATCTCGCCCAACATTAGAAGATGCTTGTCGAATGTCCAAGGGCCGTTCGATAGTATTCTCCGTTTATCCACAACATGACCAAACACGAACACAAACAGGTTGTCCCCAATGACCCGTACTTGCATTCCTTTAGTGGGTTGCCACACCGAGAGCAGGGTACTCTTCATGGCTTCGACATTAAACGGCCTACGAGTGAGTAACTTGCCAACAAGACACATATCCGATTTGCCCATCATCAAGCTTGTAGAATCCCCCCCAATCCTCACAACTGCGTCCTCCTCCGAAGTGAGGGATAGCGTACGAGTAAGGTCGAGAAGGGAATCAGCCATCGTGTCAGTACCACCTCCGTCAACCTTCTAGCAGAAGAAAAAACTTGCACACAGCAAGAAGAACCTCCCCTACAGAGAGAGAGAGGACAAAACCTCCACTCTAGAGAGAGAGAGGACAGTTATGTCGTATTTCAAGGTTTAAAAGGCCTTTTTTATGAAGCATTTTTCTAACATTATTATCTATATTCTCAATATGCCTCTTCACATGTGATTAGGCTAAAATATATTATTTATTTTGAAACCTGTGCGGGGAGCAAATATTCAGGCAAGCCCGCACTCCTTTCTTTCAAGCTCCAGTCTGTCTGATCGACCTGCGAGCAAATAACGGTGAGCTACCCGGCGGTGTGTGGCCGGAAAAACCCTCCAACGATCAAGACATGCTTATATACCCTTCTGCGCCCCAAATCTACTCCACTTGGTCTCTCGACACGTGGCTCTGTTATCCCATCTGTCAGCACAAATCTTGCTATACATCACCTAACCCAACTGCCAGCCCACTCTGCTGGGAGCGCGGCAGCCGGGCAACATTATCTCGGCTATCAACGGCCATACTGAACATGCCCAAGTGCATTTGATGTCGTAGTTTCCTACTACCAGGCTTAATTCCAGCCGTGCTCAACTGTATTCCGGCGAAGCTGAGCTGGAGATTGGTAACGCCGGTCAGCCAAAGACCTTCTCGGCCAAGCTCCAAGCACAGGCCTTCCTACCGGGTTAAGGTGCGTGCATTACAACCTTGCAACGCGTGAGCCGAGGAGCCTCATCTAGGCTGTTCCTCCACCTGTCCGGCCTTCGCGGAACCGAGATCAGATAGCTCGGTTCCACGTGGGCTTTGTCATTACCGAGCAATATCATGGCCTGATCTTGGAGCCCAATACCTCGGCTTAAATCTGTCCGACTAACGTCACGGCCCAATCTCAGATCATAAATCTCCCTCTCAAAATCATACTAAAAATTTAATCAGCAATTCATCATAACAATTTAAACAGTTAGAGTTACAAGAAAAATCATATTATTTATATTATCAATTCATACAAACTCAATTGTTGATGTATTATCTCATGTTTATACTTTGATCTTCATCAACAAAATTCTTTTTTTGCTAATAAAAAAAAAAATCATACAAACTCAACCATATAGAAAAGCATAACAGATTTCATTTACTTATCAGAACATAAATATACAAATCAATAATGCTACAATAAACACATTGTTATATTATATTTAATTTACAAAGTGAGAGTCATTAAGACCCAATAAACTAATATGGTAATAACAACCAACACGAGATACAAATACAATTATTATAGCATTATTGGTAGAAACTAATATGCCAAATACTGATCAACGTATAACATGATGAAATATGATAGTATTAAAGGGTATTGGATCATGCAGAGGCAACATCATCACCAAGAGGACTCATCTTCTTCTTCTTCTTCTTCTTCTACTTCTTCTTCTTTCTTCTTGTTATCATTGTTCTTCTCAACATCATCACCAACAACAAGACTTATCTTCTTCTTCTTCTTCTTCTGATCATTGGTGTTCTTCTTAATGCAGGAAACTGCAGTTTTGAACATTATCTCCTTCACCGTCGTCTTTGGTGCCAGAATCACAGTAGCTGGTCCTTTCTTAGCTCCAGAAACCTCTCCAATCTTGCACTTTGCATTGTCTTCCATCTCTCTCTCTCTCTCTGAATCGTGTGTTGTGTTGTGTGGTGTGGTGTTGTGTTGTGTTGTGGTGCTTCTCCAGAGGGAAACATGGGCATATATTTATAGACTGGAAACTCATATATTGTTTGTTTACTTTCCTTTGGCAAGACAATGACATGACTCTGAAGTGTGAACCCAACGTTCAAAGAACCAAAGAGGGGTGCATGTGTACGGGCATATGCAGGGGGAAGCGAAGGGGGTCAGGGGTTCAAAGACGGCTCAACCATTAGGCGGAGGCAGTCTAAAGTTTAAAAAAAAAATGCTTACAAATTTGAGAAAATTACAAATCAATTGTACTTTTTTTAAATAATTATATACTTATGAAAAAATTTATAATCTTAGGTCTCGTTTGGCAACTTAACATTTTAATCAAAAAATCGAAAAGTTACTAAAAAAGCCAAAAAGCCTATAACATATACCAAAAAATCAAATATTTCATTTTCTCTCTACTTTTTGCACATCTTTTCATAAAAAGCCAAAAAGCCACCCTAAACATATTAGTTTTCTTACCTCATATTTTAGCCAAAAAGCTAAAAAGTTACTAAAATAGCCTATTCTCAAACGAGGCCTTAATAATTAAAGTCTGTAAAGTTTATCATTAATTATTTTTTTTTATTTTTTTCCCCCCCAAAACATACACTAATTTGTTATTTCCCCTAAAAAATTCTTATTGTTGAAGACCAAATGTTTGAACGATTCAGTAAGATAAGTTTTTCTTTTGATGTTTAGTTTAACAATAATGTTAGGAACACAGAAGGTTCGAAGCATAGAATTTACAAATATGAGATAAAAAATATTCTCATTGTGAATATGCTTGCATTTATAGATACGAATATATGTTTTACAGTGCATTTAGTGTTTGAAATTTTTTGTGTTACTAAACTTTTTCTTAATTTATGCCTTGTTTGGAAAGTAAAATTTTTAGTTAAAATGTCATTATAACTTATCAAATCATTATCTCTAATTTTTTACATGTTTATTTATAAAAACTCATACTACCATTAAAAAAGTCAATTATCAAATTAATGACAAATTTGGGAACTAGTTAAAATAGTTAAAAAGTTACTAGAAAAAAAAAAAAAAAAAATCCACTCTTCTTTTTATTTTTTTATACGTTTTTTTTTTAGAAGTCAAAAAACTAACTAATTTGTTCTTAAAACAATCCTACCTCCTTAATATCTCAAACAATCTTGGGTCATGACCCGATTGTGTAGGTGTGTGGCTGTGGGTAGTGGTGGAGAGAAAGAAAAATTATTTGATGACCAATGCGGGCATTACTTGAATCAATCCAAATCATTTATTTGTGTAAATATAAATGAACAAATGGATGACTTAAATTAATTTGGGATGTTACCACATCAATGCCTTTAGAACAATGAACAAGTGCTCGGAGAGAAGGGATCATGCGTGGATTGTGATCCCTATGTGGGGTTTGTGAGTGGAGAAGTTATTCGTTGCTCCTAGATATAATTATGTTGTGTTTTAAATTGTTTTGATTGGTTTAAAAAACATAATTTATAATTTTGTATTAGATAATTATAAAATATAAAAAGGCAATTAAAATAAAATAAAAAACAACAACAACAACAATCTAAGCTACATCTTATTTTTTTACAATTTCATTGTAGAATTTTATGTAACTTTTATGACTACAAGCTTATTTGAAATTTCCTAAAATCTATTTTTAAGTGAATCAGAACATTTATTCATAGGCCATGTTTGTTTGGACGGACTGGATTAACATTCCCATGACTAATAGTCCTAGGACTACGAATCTGTTAGATTATGTATCCTATTTTAACTAATAGTCAAGTTTAAAATAATTAGTCCGTACTTTAATTGTTTAACCAAACATCGGATTAATAATTTT